TTAACGAATGACATTGCAGGACTGTAATAAAATGTGATCTAATATTTGAGCTGCCTTCCTAAACCTGGGCTCACCATTTGAGTCAGCCCCACTGTACAGAGGCTGCTGTAGTACAGTGGTACCTTGGGTTACATACGCTTCAGGTTACATACGCTTCAGGTTACAGACTCCACTAACCCAGAAATAGTGCTTCAGGTTAAGAAATTTGCTTCAGGATGAGAACAGAAATCGTGCTCTGGCGGCACGGCGGCAGCAGGAGGCCCCATTAGCTAAAGTGGTGCTTCAGGTTAAGAACAGTTTCAGGTAAAGTACAGACCTCCGGAACAATTAAGTACTTAACCCAAGGTACCACTGTACATTCAGTACTGGGAGGAGATAGGCTGTTTTTGAGACATTTGTATTCAGATTCTTTTGTTTGTCTGAAAATCATTTTGCCTTGAGCCGGTGAGGCTAGCAGTCCTCTTTTGAACAAGCATTGGTGTTTAGCATGGTTGTTCAAATCAGCTCTGGGGAACTTTGCAGCTCCAGACTTAAGCAAAGCCTGTGGTTGCTTCAAATCAGTATATGTGAAGTTCAGTACAGTGGTACCTCGGGTCCAGCATCTTCTCACAGTGGCCAACCAGATGCCCATTGGAAACCCAAAAGCAGGACCCGAGTGTGCTGCAGCCCTCTCCACATTTGTGATTCTCAGCAAATGCCATTCAGAGGCATACTGCCTCCAATAGTGGGGATAGGAACATAACCATTGAGACTAGTAGCCACTGATAACCTTCTGCTCCATATATTTGTCCAATCTTCTTTTAAAGCCATACACTACACCTTGGGGAAATCAAATCCCAGAGTTTTAACTATGCCCTGAGTGAAGAAGTGCTTTCTTTTGTCTGTCCTAAATTTTCTAACATTCAGTTTCATTGGATGTCCATGAGTTCTAGTGTTATGAGGGAGGGAGACAACTTTCATCTAACCACTTTCTCCACACCATGCATACCTTTGGTTCTCTAATCCCACTGTTCCTAAAACTTCTGTGTAAATCCCTCTGTTTCTCTCAGTGATTCATAATGTGTTTGTTGTTCCCTTTTATCTTCCCAAGTGAGCCCTCTGTCTCTTAGGTTCTCTGTCCCTTAGGCAGCGGAGGCTGCTGCCCCACCAACCTCAGCCTGTGCTCAGCCAGCCCCCACCTGCCTGCCTCTTACTTGCATCCAGTCCAGGGGGTGGCATTGGCTTACTCCTCTTTAGTCCCAATGCTGCCCTTGTAGAAGTCAGCAGGGAGGAGGTTGGGGACAAAACTGGAATTAGTTGCCTCTGGCTGTCCTGGGCTCTGGTTCAGCTAACTTTTGATCTCCCTTGCATTCTGCTTTACCAGTCCTTGTGATCACCAGTCATCTCTGCTTCTAGGACCTCCTCCCGGTCAGCCATCTAGGCCTGAGCCAGCCCCCATGCAGCTCCTCCTTCCCTAAGTACTGCATGGAGCTTTAATCCCAGTCAAACAGACAGCTATCTCTTCTATCCCAGAAGTTGGACTGTGAACCTTTTGTTGCTTTGTTCCCCAAGTAATTGGAATGTTCCATGCCAGCGCTCTGGCTCAAACAGTTGCTGTCAGATGCATCATTGCCTCAAACTCAATACAGTACAGATATCTGTGAAATGGGAATGTATCTGTACTCTGTATCTATCTGGTGTGTTTTGTAAGTGTTCGAATGCTTAGTGGTGTTCAGGCAAAAAGAGCCTTTTATCTAAACTATTGATCTGTTTCTTGTTTTGCCATTGCTAGGGTTGCTTTGACTGAGCACCTTGCTGGATTTTATTTCAGAGACTGACCAGCTGGGGTTGCTTGTGGGTCAGGCTTCCCCAAAGGAGATGGTGTTTTGGTGAGACTACTGTGTCTTACTATTTCTGCTCCAAAGGACATAAAGTACTTCCTCATACAGTGCAATTAAAATATGAAAGTAAAGCTGCTATCCAACAGGGAAACTGACAAACTAGCCAGCAAAACAAAGAGCCAAGTGGAAAACCTGTGCCTTGCAACACCCTCCTCAATGCTTAAAAGATTACATTGGGCAGGGTGAGGAAATCCATATATATCTTGTGGGGAAGTTTGCTTTGCAGCCTTGAAGCAATGGATGTGAAGATTCTAATCCTGGTTGTGGCAGTTGCGTGGCGAGTTCCCGCCCCCCACCAAGATAAATAAACACACAAGACACCATAATTAAGGTTAATTGGGCGAATTAGGCCACAACTTTATTGAATTCAGGAATGAGAGGCATTGGCTTAGGCATTGGTCCTATCGACTATCCGGCTCCAGCCCATTTGCTGGAGACACGGGGAAGGGTTAACACTAATCGGGGGAGTCTCCCGCTGAGGCACGTCGGCTAAGAGCTCCCCCGGGTCACCGCTCTGGGGGCGTGCCTTTGGCCCTCACCTCCATAGGCTTCGGACAGGGCCACGCCCCCCGGAGTCCTTTAACGGACCACCCTTCGTTCATTGGGGGGAGGTGATGGCGTCCCTCCCCCCCCACACATCCTCTTAACCCCATCTTACCAATGCCTACCGCCCATGCCGAAAAGTTGTGACGAGTTGCTACGAGGTAGGGCGAAAAACCAAAAGGCTGTAAATGACCAATTGGGAAAAATTCCTACCATGCCCCTTGCGGCGACAGACCGAAGTCCATAGCAAAGTCAGACCTACCTAAGAACCCCAACTAAAGGGAGGGAGGGTGGGTAAACGTGGGGGCTAGCCGGAGAAGAGAGGGCGAGCCCCCTCCGCTCCGGCCCTAAATAGGGCAAGCCACGCCCCCCCAGCCAGCCGATTGGCTGGCTGGGAGGCGTGGACGCTCGGGATTCCCCTGTTCTCGCGGGGGCTGAACCCAGCCCCCGCTCACGTGGGGAGGGCGTGATGCCCGCAACCCCACCTCCTGGGGCAGGCCCGGAAGTGGCTTTGCGTGGCGAGTTCCCGCCCCCCACCAAGATAAATAAACACACAAGACACCATAATTAAGGTTAATTGGGCGAATTAGGCCACAACTTTATTGAATTCAGGAATGAGAGGCATTGGCTTAGGCATTGGTCCTATCGACTATCCGGCTCCAGCCCATTTGCTGGAGACACGGGGAAGGGTTAACACTAATCGGGGGAGTCTCCCGCTGAGGCACGTCGGCTAAGAGCTCCCCCGGGTCACCGCTCTGGGGCGTGCCTTTGGCCCTCACCTCCATAGGCTTCGGACAGGGCCACGCCCCCCGGAGTCCTTTAACGGACCACCCTTCGTTCATTGGGGGGAGGTGATGGCGTCCCTCCCCCCCCACACATCCTCTTAACCCCATCTTACCAATGCCTACCGCCACCGAGCAGCCGCTCGCCGCCAATACTCTCATGCCTGAATCCACTCCATCAACCCCTTTGCAATATCCCTAAGCCAGACATCATTACCAGCATCCGAAAGATGCACGCCATCATACCGGTAGAGGGCCTCACGGTTGAAACGAATGCCCGGGTGGCCGATCACCATCCCACCCAGGGCTGCCACTCTACGCACCACCGCCCGATCCAAGGCTTTCCTAGCCCTATTAATAGCTATCGGGCACCTGCAGTCTCTCCAAATCCGCCTCTCCATCAGTGAGGCCCAAATAATTGTGACATTCGGGTAAGCGGCCTTCAACTCCTCGAAGTCGCTAAAAATGTGCCACTGCAGGTCAACTGCCTTCCTGTAGGCTAGGTCGTTTTCCCCCAATTGTATCAATAAAGCGTCTGGGGGGCCCCCCACTGCAGCTCTGGCCTTAACCACGGGCAGCAACTCGGCCCAGCGCATTCCCCTCCGGGAGACCCAGGAAATGGTGATATCAGGTGGAAAGCCCAGGCGTGGCCCGAGACCGGAATTAATGGCGCGGACCCTGGCCCAATGCACGATACTGTGCCCGATAATCCAGACGCGCACCCCCATGTCACCTGTGGGAAATTGAGAGAAAAGGCCAAGGTCAACCACCATCACAGATTCTTTCTCA